TCTTTTTATTTTTTTTATATATATATATATATATATATATATATATATATATATATATATATATATATATATATATATATATATATATATATATATATATATATATACGCACATATATATATATATACACACACACATATACGTACATATATCTTATCTGTTGGGTGAGGCACCCGGTCTACCAAATATAAATCAGTCTGTTCTGGGTTTCTGACTGAGGGCAAATGAGCCTGAAATAGCTATACTAGTCTCCCATTAACTCTTTGTCAGCCACAAAATTTTGAACATATACATATATATGTGTGTGTATATATATATGTGTGTGTGTGTCTATATATGTGTGTATATATATATGTGTGTGTGTGTGTGTGTGTGTACACATATATACACACACCAATATTTCCAAAGCAGGGAGGGGAAAAAACAGGCCAAAGATGGCAAGAAGCCTGCTTTAAAGAGCACCTGGCTGGTCCGTCTGGCCCTTTTCCCTGCCCAGTTGCTACGAGGCGGCCGATCTTTCTGCGAAGAACTTCCCTTCCTTCCCTCTTCCCCGTCTTTGGCTTCCCAACATTCCGTCATTCAGGGGAACACAGCATGTTCAGAGCTGACTGCCCAAAGGAAGTCATTACTTCTGCAAGTTGACTTTGGGGAGACGCTCGCTGGCAGGTGGGTGTCGTTGGAATGCCCCGCGCCCCCTCCTCCCCCCCCAAAAGTAGAGGATTATGTACGGTGGCGGACGGAGGATGCAACTTTGCTAAGGCAAAACACAAAAGCCTGCTTCATCTTAATGCACACCGCAATGTCGGCAGGCACCAAGTTCTGGGTTTTTTTTGTTTTTTTTCTTTTAAAAAAAGAAGAAAAGAAAGGGAAAGAGAGAAATGCCATTTCTTTGGCATTCAGGATGGGTCATCCTTCCCACCGGTTTTTGTAACCACTGCCTTTTTTACAATGGGTTTTTCAAAATCTCTTTTCCCCTTCCTTTCTAATCACACCAACTTGCAAGGGAGCTCCAATTAATGGGGGAGTGAGTGTGCGCATGCAAAACTGATGTCACAAGTTTGTCCTGAGTAAATTTAAACTATGGTAGTAGCAGTCGAATGATTATCATAATAGCTTGCCAAGGGGGGCCGTCTTTAAGTAAAGATATTCCAAGTAGGTTGATTCTATTCTGTTCTGTTCTGTTCTGTTCTGCTCTGCTCTACTTCTATTCTATTCTATTCTATTCTATTCTATTCTATTCTATTCTATTCTATTCTATTCCCATATTCTATTCTATTCCCATATTCTATTCTATTCTATTCTATTCTATTCTATTCTATTCTATTCTATTCTATTCTATTCTATTCTATTCCCATATTCTATTCTATTCTATTCTATTCTATTCTATTCTATTCTATTCTATTCTATTCTATTCTATTTTACTCTTATTCTGTTCTATTGTATTCTGTTCTGTTCTGTTCTATTCTGCATTCTATTCTACTCTACTCTACTCTACTCTACTCTACTCTACTCTACTCTACTCTACTCTACTCTACTCTACTCTACTCTACTCTACTCTCACATTTATTACTTTGGCAAATAACTAGCTAATTTCTCTTTCCCTTATAACAAAACCCCTGTGAGGTGAATCGCAGGTTGGAATACCATAAGCTTATGAAAGTATAATAAGTAAAAATAGTAAGAATATCCCCAACAGTGGATAGTCATAGAATTTGAGCTCTTGAAGGAATTTAGCGGTCACCTTGCTTCACTTTCTCTTCAGACACATCTGCTGTCTTGTCCCAGTGTTTATAGGTAATCCTTAACTCACAACTATTTGTTTAGCAGCTGCTTGAAATTACAACAGCACTGAAAAGAGTGACCTATGATAGGTCCTCGCACTTACAACAGTCTCAGGATGATTGTGGCACCTGGCTTGTGGATTGCCGTTGGTGAGGTTTCAAGCTGGCTTCTGAGAACGAAAGTCTATGGGGGAGCCAGATTCGTTTAATGATCATATGATTCACTTAACAACCGGAATGATTCATTTCACAGCCATGGCAAAAGCCATAAAATTGGACGTGATTCCCTTAACAATCAGCTCACTTAGCCCTGTGAATTCTGGTTTCATAAGTCAAGGACTACCGGTATGCTGTGAAGAAGTTTCCTTCATGTCTATTTCCATCCTGTATCTATCCTTGGATTCCAGCCTGGTCCACGTTAGCCCAACAGATGGACCCATTCTATCTTTTCTGTGGTAAAAAAAATAAGAAAGGCAGGATACAAATAAATAAAATGTCCTGGTCAGCATCAAGAAAGCGTATTTTATTTTATTATTTCAAAAGGGACCTTTTTATAGCTAGATGGCACACTTTGAGCTGCTCTTCAAAAGGGAAAATAAATAACC